GCTGTGTACATAACCTGGTTGCCCGGGAGGGCGGGCAGTGAATGCAGGTTGCATGGATTGTACGTTCGATTTTTTGGCCCCTCGCTCGGCCCTCGGCCGGCGACCGTTTAGATTGCCACAGGGCTCGGTGGCCCGGGGACCCGGGGACACCGGCAAAACCAGACAGCGATAGCGGATGGGCCGGCACGCCGGTTTTAGGCGTAGGCCGGGTAGACGTCACCAGCAGCAGGAAGAGCATGCTCGTGCTTGCACCTCTCAGGGGAATGCGGTGCGACCCTACGCCTGCATGAACCTGGGAGGGGGCCAATCCAAATGCGGTGCGACATTACGCCTGCATGCGGATTGGCCCCAACCTTTTTCCATCTTGGCCGAGGCTCAAGTGCGCGTTGGAGGAAAACCACCCCCCCTCCATCCTTGCATGGTGGCCCGGGGTGGCCGCACCAGGCGCGGTGGCCGCAGCCTGGCCACGATAATCTCATCTTGGGAGTTGCGGTTGGCTGAGACGGCCGACTACCTCCTGAGGGTCGTCCTCGGCGTGGCACCGCGGCCCCAGTGGGGCCCGCTCTGGCTGCTCCCAGCCTCCCGGGACGAACTCGCGGCCTATCTCAGGGCCGTGGCCAGGGCCCCGGAGGTCGACCCAGAGTTAGAAATCAGTGAAGATGACGCCTGAGGACAGCAGAGCCCTTTCAAGCTCGCCCCCCCCCCCCCCCCCCCTCCAGGCTTCCTGAGTCGAGCTCGGTTTCGCAAAGAAGTGCCCCCATGAGGTCTCGTCGCCATCCTCTCCCCGGGGACGGCTGCTGACCCCGAGCCAGTTCTTGGTGGCCCCTGGGCCCGGTGAGGGCCCTGGAGGCCGCAGAGATGAACCAGAAACTTCCCGCTGTTCTCTGTTGCGCGGCGCGAGGAGGGGTCGGGGCTCTGGTCACGAGCGGACACCTAGCACCCACAACGGTGCGACCCCAAGACGTCTCGGGTTGGAATTCCGTGGGCGTTAGGGGTGTGGAGTGTGTGTTGTCGGACAGGGGTCCCTGCCCGAACAAGAGCCCCCCCCCTTGGTGCCCATCTCATTGCCTTTCCCCGTTCCTCCTCCCCATTCGTTTGAGCGTGTGTCGCTCTTTCATCCTCTGAGCGACGGACAAACTGGGTCGTCGTCGCCGACCTTGGCTCGCAAGCTGACCGCGCAAGCTCTCGCGGAGCAGCGCTCCCGGAACAGACGTGGCGTGCCGCGCTTCCCGGCCCGCGTGAGCCACCGCGCAGGGCCGCTGTGCCACCTCGCGCAGGGCACCTGTCCCTCTCCCTCGCTCATCCGGCACCTCGCCGCCAGCCCTGGGGAGCTGCTGGGCACGCGCTCCCCGCCCGCGCCCCCTCGCATGGCTCGCCGCCTCGCCGCTCCCCGCCTCTGCGCCCTCGCTCCCTCGCTCCCCGCGGCCCGCCCTGCAGGGGCCACCTCCTCGCCCCGCTCCTCGCCCCGCCCCCGCCGCCGGCGCTTGGCGCCTGCGGGAGAGGCCTTCCTGGGCCTCGCTCCGGTCGGCGGCGAGCGACGGGGGGGAGCGCGAGAGAAGGAGGAGGCCCTCTCGGAGGGCGGCGGGGCTTCCGCAGAGGCCCTCCGGCCGTCTGAGGAGCGTCCCGCGCCCTCCGGGGAGGCCCAGGAGGCTGCTCAGAAGGCCGGAGGACCTCCGAGCCTTCTGAGAAGGCCCGCCCCTTCTCGCCCCCCCCCCAGGCGCGCTCCCGATAATAATAATACTAATGCTAACAAGATTAATAATAATTATAATAATAATACTAATAATAATAGTAATAATAATAATACGAATAATATTAAGAAGAATATTAATGATAATAATAATAATATTATTAATAATAATAATATTAATAATACTAGTAGTGATAATAGTAGTTATAATAATACTAGTAGTATTAATAATGATACTAATACTACTACTCATACTAATAATAATAATAGGAATAATAATAATAATAAGAAGAAGAAGAAGACAACTAGAAGAAGACGAATAACATTGGCGTAAGCTTGTACCTATGCGACCGCCCTTCGTGCGAGAAGGAGGTTCGGGGGTGCGGGGGGGAAGGACCAATTGCTGGCGAATGCGATGGGTCTGATGCTGACGATGCTGATGACGCGCCCTCGCGTTAGCGACGACGTGTGATGACGATGTTGCGCTGCGACGTAATGGTGTCACTATCGTCCCTGCTTTCGATCTCACTCGATCGACTCCACTATCGACCTCACGGCCAGTCTTAGTACCACTATATTGAGCGATCGATCCCATTGTGCTCGCCCCAGGGGGAGATCGCCTGTCCCCGCGAGATCTACACGACCCAGGGGACGTCGCTTCCTTGCGCATCTGACAGCGCGAGCACAACCATTATCACAATCAACCTCACTGTCGCCCTCACTTCGACCTCATTATCCATCCCATTTCAGCGATCTCATTATCGATCTCACGATCGACTCCACAGTCGGTAACGAGGGCGGGACAACCCCGACCACCGCCCGCCCACCGCCGTGGGAACACCGACGAGACACGAACGGAACACCAACGGGACACCACACGACACCACGGATGGACACCCCGGGCCACCGCGCGCCCACCGAGGGCGGAGGGGCATTCGAATCGCCCAAGCGACGGCGGGGCCATTCCTACCACGCAGCCTCGCCCCGCCCGCACGCACGACACGAACACGACACCGAGACCGATTTCCTGGTGGGGGGCTGCCCGCTCCGCTGCGATCGGACCCCCGGCCTCCGACTTTCGGAGCCCCGTGCGGAGGTCCTGGATCTGCGATCGACCGCCGTGGCGGCGCTTCGGGCCCCGGCCCGCGCGCCAGGGAGGGGGGCCAGGGCGCCGAGACATGGATTCCCCGAGGACCTCCGAGAGCTTCTGCCTTTGCCGTGTTCGTTCCGCGACGTGCCCCCTGAGCCGAGGAGCCGCAGACGCGGGGTGGAGGCGCGTCAGCCGGCGGCGGGCCCCGTCTCCACACGAGGTCGACGCCCCGTCGCCGGATCAGGGCGGCAGAGGCTTCCTGTTTCGGTGTGCTCGGGGTGCCCCCCTCCTCCTCCTGCTCCTGCTGCTGCTCCTCCTCCTCCTCCTCCTCCTCCTCCTCCTCCTCCTCCTCCTCCCCCCCTTCTCCTGTTCTCCCGCCCCCTCCGCGGCCGCCGTCCCTCCCTTTTTGTTTGTTCGTCTTGCACGCTGGCCTGTTCTCGTTTCGGCGCTCCCGTCTGGCCCTTTCGCTGGTGCAGCCCACTCTGCCTCGCCGCCGACGAACAGAAGGGAAAAAAACACACAGACACAATTAATCGACGATCCCCAGGAAAATATGGGAAAATATGGGAAGTGGGGGGGAAGACAAAAACCCAGAAAATATGCGAAAATATGGGGAATCTGTTTATTTGTGTGTATTTATTTGTGTGTCCCAGGGCCCCTTCAGACGAAAAGAATCGGTGTACTTCCCCAGGTCCGAATTTCTACTTCCCCAGGTCCGAATTCCTGGCGCCCACGCGCCAGGTCTTCGGCTCGGTCATCCGCGCTAGTGCATGCCTGCTTGAGGTGGCCAGCACCGGCCGGGAGGACGACGCTCATGTGGGCGGGGGTCCCTCCCCGTCCTGCTTCCGCGGCCTCTCCTCCCCCCTTTGTTCAAGCAGGTGAACTCGCTACGTCCACCTGCCTGATCTTCTTAGCTGCGCGTCGTCCCACCGATGGCCGCGATCCCTCCGAGCAAAACGCAGAGTGCGCCTCCCAGGGACAAGCATCCTTATTCAAAACGCAGTGCTGCGACTACGTTGGGACCCTTTGGAGTCTTCTGGGAGGGGTGGCTGGGGGTAAGTTGAGGGGCGTTTTCAGGCATTTCACAGCGAGGAGACCATTCGAGGTCTTCTGGGGGGGTGCTTGGGGTATGCTGAGGGGTTATTTGAGGGCTTTCTCAGGCATTTCACAGCGCAGAGACCCTTCGGGGTCTTCTGGGGGGGGCTTGGGGTATGTTGCGGGATTCTATGAGGGCGTTCGCAGGCATTTCACAGCGAAGAGCGGCGAGATAAAACAGTCCACTATTGAATCGCGTGAGGGTGTTTGGCTGCCAGCTGACTTCCGGGACGCTTCTCGGAGGCATCCTTGTCGACCTCTTGCGGGGCCTTTGTTGGGTGCTGTTCGGCTGCTCTTAGGGGGCGTCTGGGGGCGCATTGTCTTGGGGATGATCCTGGCTACCTCCCGGGGCTCTCTCGGTGCCCTCTTGGCAGTCCAGCGCGCGCGCGTCAGTCTCGGGGGATCTCAAAGATGATGGAAGTGAGACAGCCCGGGGCGACACACGCGCGAGTGAATCAGCAGGATGTGTGGGGGGTGGTCCTTGGAGGACTATGTACAGGAGCCCAGCCAGGCCTAGGCACAGCACCACGCCCAGGCGACATGCTGGGGGCAGGGTGGCGAATTCCTGCTTCGCTGCGTGCGCGTCCGGATCGCGTATGGGCGTTGGTCGCCTCCTGTGAGTTTTCTGGAGGCTTATCGGGTGCCTCTCGGGGGCTTCTTGGGGGCCTCATCAGGGAGGCCAGGGGCGGAGGCGGAGGAGGAGAAGGAGGAGGAGGAGGAGGAGGAGGGAGGAAGATGAGGAGGGAGGACAGAGGAGAAGGATCAAACGGGGGAGGGGAAGGAGCAGGAGGAGGGAGGGGGGAGGAGAACGAGGAGAAGGATGAGGGGGTGGACAACGATGACGACGACCACGGCTAGGACGACAACAACGACGACGACGACGACTGCAACGGCGACGGCGACGGCGACAGCGACGGCGACGATGACCGCGACGGCGACGGCGACGGCCACGGAGACGGCGACGGCCACGGCGACGGCGACGGCGACGACGACGACGACGACCGCGGCCCCGACGACGACGACGACGACGACGACGACGACGGCGGCGGCCACCACGACCGCGCCGACGACGACGGCGGACCACGACAACGTCCACTGCGACGTCCAAGATGACGAGGACGACGAGGCCGACGACCGCGGCGACGACACGCCCCCCACAGACGACCGCCCAGGCGTAGTGCCGAGGACGCCGCCCGGGCGACCCGAAGCAGCTGAGGCAGCCGCCGCCGCCGCCCCGGCCAACCCGCGCGCCGCCTCTCCCGCGGGGCCCTCGCCGACGTCGTCGACGTCGTCGACGTCGTCATCGGTGCCGGCGTCGTCCGCGCCGTCGTACGTAGTCGGCGCCGGGAGGTTGGCGTCGTCGTCGTGGACGTTCGTCGTTGTCGTCGTCGTCCTCCTTGTCGTTGTCGTCCTTGTCATCGTCGTCGTCGTCGTCGTCGTTGGCGTCTTCTTCGTCGGTCGTCGTCCGCATCGTCGTCGTCATCTGTCTCGCCGTCGTCGACTGAGTGCTTTTTCGTCCCTTGAATGCTGGAGGATGAGGGTAGGAGTAGAGGGAAGGCTTGCGGGATGAGGAGGAGGAGGAGGAGGAGGAGGAGGAGGAGGACGAGAAGGACGATAGAGGGCGAGAAGGAGTTTGCGGAGGGAGGGGGCGAATTTGGAGGAAGAGCGTGAGGAGGAGGGGCAACATGAGGAGGAACGCACGATGAACATGCTGATGATGACCTTTTTTATTTGGGTATGGGGCGTGAGGGGCAGAGGCCATGATCACAGTACTGGTGGTTTGGGGGATGAGGATCCAGAGAAGGGAGGACAAAGCGTATGGAGGGGTTCAGCAGCAGTAGGAACATAAAGAGAAGGATCAGGGTAATGGGCACAATGAAGCTGAGCAGCACTTAGGCGCAAGGGGTGTGGGAAACAATCCGGGCTGAGCTGCTTTCATACGGCGGGCTGTCCGGTAGAAGCCGCAGCGTCCGCATCACCTCCACCCCTCGAAGTCGTCGTCTTTGCCGCCGTCATTGGAGGGTCGAGGATCAGTGGCTGAGGTTTCCTGCGTCTGCGTGCCCCATGTCCTAAGCTTTGGTTTCTTGTTGGTGGTGGTACGGCGCTCCCTCACTCCTTCCCGCCGACTCCATCCCAATCAGACCAGCACGCAGACTCATGTATACTCAGGCTGACTCATGTTCACCCACGCACTCATGCCCACACTCGCTCGTTCTTTCGCCACTCACGATCCAATCACTCGGATTAAGACCCAGGCGTTTTCAGGCTCAATTGGATTCAGACCACTCGTAAACCTACATCTGATCCGTAGCCACTCAGACAGTGATTTTGTCATATCCAGACTTGCCCATACCTGGACTCACTCACACGCAAGCGTTCTCACACTGGTACTTGCACCCGCACTCTGACTCACCCGCTCACACCCATACCCACATCCAGTTCACTCATATTCAGGCAGAAGTGCACATACCTACTCATACTTCGGCTCACATCTACCCAGGCCCACTTACATTCAGACTCACTCACACCCGACTCTATCAAACAGGGGCTCATGCAGACACAGCCTCATGCATGCTCATTACCATTGCAAGACCAAGTGACACCGACACCCACCCATTCAATCATCATTCGTGTGCAGGCTCACTCATACCGTGTCCCACTCATGTGTAGACGATCTTATACTCAGACCGCTTATGTTTGGAATTACGCACGCAGACTCAAACATATCCAGACCTAGTCAGGCTCATACCCATACTTAGTCATACTCATCGTCGACACTCAGACACTCCCTGGCGCAGAGCCCACTGGTCATCGATACGTAGCATGCATGGCAGTCGGGTAACGCAAGCGAGAAATGCCAGAGGGATCCTGCACGGGCCCGTTCGCGCCCAGACTGCGGGGATATCTCAGTTGTAATGGCAGTGTTTCGGTGTGGCCCGGTGCGTCTTTCCATAGCCACGGCGTTTGGGCATCCCACGGGGAAGCCGCCAGGGGGTATTGCACGGGCCCGCCGTTTCCCAGATTGCGGGGACATTTTTTTTGGTGATCGGCATTATTTGTTTATGTTCAGGTGTATGTATAATGTTTATATATATATATGTTTATATGTACGTATGTATGTGTGTATATATATATATATATATATACAGATGGGGGGCGGGCGGGTCGGGGGCGGGTATACGTGTCGGCATTTGCACTCGCATGACCAGTGCGATGCAGCACGCATGGCAGTTGGGCTTCCGACGGGTTAGCCGCCATGTATATTGCACGGGCCCGTTTCGCCCTGCTTGTCGGGATCTTTCAAGCAGTATGGTTGTTCGTTGTTTATTTGTCGTTTTTGGGGGGGCTTGTTTCTGACCATAGCCACCTGATCATTGTGATAAGGCGTCCGTGACATTTACACGGCGGGGTCACATCCTCAAATTGACGGGCAAATGACGTCGCACCAAAAAGAGCATAGCAAGAGGCAAATGTCGACCGAACATGTGGGTCAGGAGCCAACTTCGGGTGCTCACAAATATGTGGAAACAGAATGCGTGCGAGACAGGGGCCAATGTCGGGCACCCGCAAGAAAGGCGGGGAACAACTCATGGGTTGGATGGTGCTGATTGTCGAGAAGGGTGTGTGGTTTCAGGCGAGCTCTGCATAGCAGTGTGTGTGTGTTTTGGACAAGGATGGTGGTTTACGACCCCGGTAGAAGCGAATGTGTACACGCCCGAAAGGGAGAACCGCGGCGGGCTGCTGCGCGGGCCGCTCCGCGCCCAGACTGTCGGGACCTCTCACGGCGAGCGGGCGCGCCTGAGCTGTACCCGCGCTTCTCTGCCAGGGGCGCCCCCGGGGGCGCGAAGTTCTTCGCGCTTCGCGGTTCGGCTTCTATTCCTCCTCCTCTTCTCCCCTGGGAGGCGGCGCGAGAGCGCGAAGTGATTCGCACTGCGCGCTTCGCGCCGCGCGAAGCGCGAAGTTTGGTGCCCTTGTTTTCGTGGCCCCATGATCATCGCGGGGAAGCAGGCATGAGAGCTGGATATCCCAAGGGGGAGCCGCCAGGAGAACCTACACGGGCCCGTTGGCGCCCAGATCGCTGGGATCTCTCAGGCTGACTTTCTTTCTGGGCATGTGTCTTTTTCTGCGCCACGTGACCATCGTGGTGCAGCAGGTATGGCATTGATGCCACCCGAAGGGGAGCCCCCACATGATATTGCACGGGCCAGTTTGAGCCTTGATTGTTGGGACATTTCAAATGGAATCGTCGCGTTGGCGGTGTGCACGTGTTTCTTCTCATAGCCAGTAGCCACATAATCATCGTGATGTAGCAGGCATATCATGCAGGCCATCCGCAGGATAGCCGCCAGGGCATATTGCACAGGCCCGTCCGCGCCAAGATTGTGCGGACCTCTAGGGCAGAAATGCGGCTTCATTTCCGGGGGGAGCGTAGACGTGGCCCTTTTCAGAACCCATTGATCATCGCGACGCAGCAGGCATGGCCCTCGGGCACCCGAGGGGGTCCTTTTGGGGCAGTCAGATGCTTCCAGAGACCTCCAGAGACTGTTTACCACCGCCCGCACTGGGGTCCCGCCTTCTCCCCTCGCCCGTCTACCTGACCTGGTCGTGATCCCCATCTCCTCCTTCTGTTGGTCATCCTTCTTCTCCCCTCCTTTTCCATCCCTCCCTCGTCTCTCGTCGTCCTGTCTCCTCCCCTCGACCCCTCCTACTCCTCACTCCCCCCTGGTTCCGCTTCTCTGCCTACTCCCTGCTGCCCTTCCTCGGCCTCCTCCCACTCTTACCTCGGAGGAGGAGAACGCAGGGGGAGGGGACGCCTCCCCCTGGTTCTCTTCCCCCGAGGTAAATTTCGCTCCGATAATTCGATATCGATTCCAACTGGCTCGATCCGATTCGTCAGGAGCCGGCCCGATGCTTGCATGGCGCAGCCGATCCGATTCGAGTCCCGCCCCGTGCCGATGCGTCCCGGGCTGACGCACACTCCGACTCGAATCGCTGTTGCAGTTCGAAGTTGACGGATTTTGCGTCCTCCCTTCAAGGAGCAGGTTGAGGATCGGGTCTGGCGAAAGGAGGGATTGGGACAGAGGGGGTAAACAGATCTGCTGCATGCAGCCGGTTTCGGCCCCGCCGCCGGGCGCTTCCTCTGAGGCGTGGGCGCCTCTGCCGCGCCGGGCCATCCAGCTGCGTGCGCGGATTTGCTGAGCACCGCCCCTTTCCTACCACCCCTATCTCCGCAGGGCCCGACACGAGGACGGGGTAGGAGCAACACATAACTTCCTCGCCCTCCTCCCCCCTCCGCAGGTGTTGCAGGTGTGGCGCAGAGCGGTAGCGGTGATGAAACTCTTCGGGCACCTTGAGAACGCGCGCCGTGCGCGCGGCGATCTACGAGTTCGCCGCGCGGCCCAGAGGCAGAGCAGGCGCAGGCTTCGGTGGATGCACTTATCTCGCCGCGTCACGCCCCAGCGTTGCTCAGGCCGCCGTTGCACTCCTCATCACTCCCCCCTCCCTCCCTCCCTCCCTTCCTCCCTCCCTCCTCCTCCTCCTCTTCCTCCTCCTCCTCCTCCTCCAAAGTCCCCAAGGAGTGCTTGCACTGAAGGGGTCCTAGCTGAAATTGAAAGATTTGGCGAAAGTGTCCCGCCGATTTTGGTGGCCGGCTGGGTTTCCTGGGTTCCCGGTTCGGGGTTCCCAGGCTCTTGGTGATTGGTTCACCGGGGCCGATCTCGGTCGGTTCCGGGTTTCCGGGTACCGGGTCGAGTTTTTGATCGCTCAAACCGTCCAGTGATTGGGTTTTTTTCTCAGGTGTAAACCTCTTCTTCTGCCATGTTCAACGCGATCGATGTCTCGCCCGGTCCTCCCCGCCTCGCCTTCCGCGCCGTGCACGGCACCTGTCCGTGCACGGCCTCGTCCGTCTCTCCCCCATCTCTCGTCCGGCCCACGAGAGGAGGGCGGCGGAGCAGCGCCAAGCAATACGTATCCCTTCTCCCCTTGTCCTCCTCCTCCTCTTCCTCCTCCTTCTCCCAGCGCCCTCCTCTCCTCCTCCTCCTCCTCCTCCTCCTCCTCCCAGCGCCCCCCTCTCCTCCTTCTCCTCCCCCTCCTCTCTCCTCCCTTCCTCCTCCCCTCCTTCTCCCCCCCTCCTCCTCCCTCCCTTCTCCTCCCCCTTTCCCTCTCCCCCGCTTCCCCTCCGAGCCTTAGGGCGTGACCATCTGGCCCCCCTGAGGCCTCGCGGCTGCCCCTCCTCTCGCGAGCCCTCGTGGTCGAACCTGTAGCCTATTCCCAGACCTCCTCGCGTGGCGAACACAATTCTTCATGCTTCATGTATCTCCACCAGCCATGGTCGCGCCGCCGCGCCATTTTGGCTGCGTTTACTTGCTGGTCGCCACCGGGATTTCCACGCCACAGGGTTTGGGAGTATCGGTTCTGCCTCTTCTCCTGAGTGGCTGCCCGGTCGCTCGTTTCGCTTGCCTCTTTCTTCTTGCTGCCTAGTCGCGGCCCGACTAGTGTATGGACGGCTTTCGACACGCCTCGCGAATTTGTTGACCAAAAAGTATCCCCACCAGCCCGTTCGGAAGCCCTGCCCATGAGGGTTGCGCGCCCTGACCGATCGCGACCCCCACCCCCAACAAAACAAATCTCAGGGAGGGGGGGTGGAGGTCAATCTCCCAGACGGGAAGACGTTTTTGGAAGAGGCAAGCAAGAACTCGTTATACAATCTGGGCATCTGGGCGTCTTTCCTCCCTTTCGGCCTCGAGGGGGACAGTGTCGGGCCCTGGACCATGCAGCGGGTCGGAAAACTGCCCCCGTCCGCGAAAGCGGTCGGGACCCCTGGGGCCAAGGATTTGGCTCCAGGCGCATTTGTCGGGGCCCCAGACCGTCAAAGAACGCCTTGCGCAGCCGGTCCCCAGACAATCTTGCCAAGCTTCTGGGGCCCCGCGCTGCGGGATCATCACGACGCCGGAGGGTCTGGGCGTTCCTCCTCGCCACTCCGACGGTGACGAAGACGCCGGGCTACGGTCACGGCCCGACGACAATGGCGGCGTCGGCGGAGCGGGCTTCCACGACACCAGCCCGCTCGCCCTCCCTCGCGAGCGCGAGCGCGCGCGCCAGGTGCGACACTCGGCGCGGCGTCTCGCACTGGATGTGGTGAGCGCCGCGGCGAGGACGTTTTTCCCTCCAAGGGCGCCGCCTTCCTCATCCTCCGTTCCCCGTCCTCCTCAAAGGCGAAAAAAACGCCCCTACCCTGGTTTACGAGGCGCTGTGCGCTGAACCTCCTGTGGGCTGACAGGGTAAACCCTGCGTGATGTGCGGCGTCCTGGCGGCTCTCTAGGCTTTGGACGCTCCCAGGAGTCTTACAGACCACGCGCGTGTAACCCAGGGCAGGGCCGTTTTTCGCATCCCTCATCCTCGTCCTCCTCCTGCCCCTGCCTCCTCCGCCTCCTCCTCCGCCTCCTCCTCCTCCTCCTCTTCCTTCTTCTCCGCCTCCTCCCCCTCCTCCTCCTCCTCCTCCTCCTCCTCCTCCACCTCCTCCTCCTCCGCCTCCTCCTCCTCCGCCTCCCCTGCCTCCTCCGCCTCCTCCTCCGCCTCCTCCTCCTCCGCCTCCTCCTCCTCCGCCTCCTCCTCTTCCTTCTTCTCCGCCTCCTCCTCCCCCTCCTCCTCCTCCTCCTCCTCCACCCTCCTCCTCCGCCTCCTCCTCCGCCTCCTTCCCACGCTTCCCCGAGGCCCGGGCGCCGCACTTTGCTCGCGTCGGGCGCGCTCGCTGGGTCTCGGGCCCCAGGACCGTCACGGAGCGGTGCGGCTCGAACAACGTGCGTCAGGAGGTGGGGTCTGAGGTTGTGGCGGGCGATCAGGGGAGAGGAAGCACGCTGCCAAATAGCTCCCCGATGCCTAAAACATGTGTTAAACATGTTTTAAACAAGTAAGGAATCATCGTTACAACCTGTTTAGAACTTTCTCCTATATTTTGAGCACGTTCTGAACTCAATGACAGGACTGTTCGGGTGTCCATTGTCGTGGCATCCAAAAGTCTGAGGCTCCAGTCGTGATGTTCGCGATGTTGATTTTTGTTCGCAACGGTCCCTCCATCGTCACCTCCCCGGGCGGAGCTGGGACAGGGGTAGATCCGTTCCGGAGCCCTCTAGAGCGCTCGCAGAGCCTTCTGGAGCGCTCTGACAAGGCCGCGGCGCTCTATGTCGGGGGCGGCCAAGGGGGTGATGACCTGGGGGGAGGACATCATGACGGGGGCCACCATATCTCCCCAGATTTCATGGCGCCTCCTCTTATTGTGCTACGTCCCCCGCTACCCCCCCTGGGCCGCGCACGTGCCGCCAGCCATGATTTGCGCTCCCCTCCCCCCCCCCCCTTTGGATGCCCCCCCTCTACTGGACGGCCCCGAAGATGCAGCCTCCAGAACTCAGGATGGAAAGACACACGCGGACACAAGCAAGCGTCGATTCCCAGGGAAATATGCGAATCTACGGCAAGTGGGGGGGAAGACGGCAGTCCAGAAACTATGGGAAGACATGGGGGATCTTGGGATTTGTGTCTACCCATTTGTGTGTCCAGCTATGCTGTCCACGTCACGTGGTGTAAGCTATGGGGTGCAAACTATGCGGTGTAACATATGTGGTGAAAGCCACGTCGTGCCACCGATGCGGTGCGAGCCAAGCGGCGCAAGCTGTATGGTGTAAGCTATGCGGTGAAAGGCGTGTCGCGCAAGCTCAGAGCACGGGCCGCCCACGAGGGCGCCCACGGACCCGCAGCACGAGCCGCCCGACCTCACAGATGCCCGAAGGATCCTTGTCCGATTTGACCCCGGCCAAGGGCGCGGCAGCGACAGGGAGCAGCGGCGCGCGGGCTCCTCGCCTCCCCTCGTGGAGGTTCGCATTCGTGCGCCTCCTGGTCGCCCTCCTCGTCGCTCTGCTCGTCGCCCTCGTCCTGTTCGTCGTCGTCCTCGTCTTCGTCGTCGTCGTCGTCGTCGTCATCGTCCTCGTCGTCGTCATCGTCGTCGTACTCATCCTCGTCCTTGTCGTCGTCGTCGACGGCGTCCTCGTCCTCGTCCTCGTCGTCGTCGTCGCCCTCGTCGCCGTCGTCGTCATTGTCATTGTCTTCGTCGTCGTTTTCGTCGTCGCCGTTGTCGCCGTCGCCGTCGTCGTCGTCATCGTTGTTGTCGCTTCGACTCACCTCCCTCCTGCTGGTATTACCTCTCCGCGCTTCCGCACCCCGCTCCCCGCTGCCTCGGCCCCCCGCTGCTCCCGCCGCAAGACAGCTGCCACTTCTCCTGCTCCACCTCCTCTTTCGGCTTTGTCCTCCTCCTCTTCCTCCTCCTCCTCCTCATCATCATCATCACCCATTTTGGCTCAAGCGACGGCCGCGCACGCTGCTCCCGCACGGCATCGTTTGGGCTGGCTGCGCGCCACCGCTTGGCATGGGGCGAGGCTCGCGAGGCGACTATGAGGCCGTCATACGGTGGCTCGCCAACAGCGTGCTTCAGCTGACGAAGAGG